ATCTACTCCTGCCCTCCAAATGGGCTCATCTGTACCAGTTTTCTAGATTCCTCAGTGGAGCTGTGGAGGCCAGAGTTCAAAGCTGGGTCAGCCTGATTGCAAAGCTGAGAGCTTAAGAGTCACATTGCTTGAAATATGGCACCGTATTTAAAGAGCTTGTTGGAGAGACTTGTCATCTGTGTTAGTTGTCATTGTCTTTGTTGCTTACCACTGCTCTTGGTTTAGCATGACACTGTTGAGCATCTAAATATAGAGCTATTAATAAATAGTGGGTGATCAGTAATACCTGAAAGAGAGACAGACAGAAAGAGACAGAAAGAGAGAGAAACAGGGGGCTGGGGAGAAGGGAAGAGAGACACGTGCTGGTGTTGTGGGAAGAGTCATGGTTCTGAAACCCTGTAGACAAGGCTCTGTCTCCCTACCCAGCAGTTGTGCAACCTCATACAAATGAAATCAACTGTCTCATCTGTAAAATGGTGTCAATGATAAGAATTCCTTTGGGGGGAATGGTGTTCTCATTACCTTGATTGTGGGAATGACTTCACAGGTATATACCTAGGTCAACATTTACAAACTCTACACTTACAGGCGTGCAGTTTATTGTATGTTAAATTAAACCTCAATAAAGCTATTAAAACAACAATAATAATAGCTCCTGTATGGGCTTCCCAGGTGGCTCAGATGGTAAAGAATCTGCCTGCAAAGCAGGAAACCTAGGTTAGATCCCTGGGTCAGAAGATTCCCTGGAGGAGGGCATGGCAACCCACTCCAGTATTCTTGCCTGGAGAATCCCATGGACAGAGGAGCCTGGCAGGCCACAGTCCATGGGGTCCCAAAGAGTCGGACATGACTGAGCAACTAAAACTTTGCCTTTTTCAATCAAAGCCAGCTGCTACAGCAACATATTTCTCAATAATTCCCACCCTCATCTTCCAGCTTTTCAGAACCCATTTCAGACAGGCAAATGAGACCTTTCTCTTGATTCTCTTTCTTTCCTACCCTTGCCCACCCTCTGATCTCAACTCACATTGCTGCTGCCCCTTTAGGTTAATCTAGCGAAGGGGACTCTGTCCTATAGCTCAAGTCATCCAGCCCTTCATTACATGCTGCTTGGTCCTCTGCAGGGAGCACTTGCCAGACAAAGAAAGCTCACTTTTGCAACCCATGATCCATTGACTATGGCTTTAATTTAATTTTATTTTTTTAGTTCTATTGAAATAAAGTTGATAGACATCACTGTATAGATTTAAGGCATACAGTGTAATGGTTTGACTTACATATATTGTGAAATGTTTACCACAAGAAATTTAGTTTGCCTCCATCTTCTCATAGAGATACAATGAAAAGAAAAAACAAAATAAGAAAAAAAAAGTCTTTCTTCATTGTAATGAGAACTCATAGGATCTAGTCTTTTATCAACTTTCCTATGTATCACCCAGCAGAGTTAACTTAACAGCCATCATGTTGTACAGCATGTCCTTAGTGCTTATTTATCTTCTTATTGAATGTTTGGGCCTTTGGACCATCTTGCCCTGATAACTTCCATTTTTAAACTGAGGGTTAATCCATGCACAGTGAAATGCCCAGATCTTGAGTGTATTGTCACTCAGTCTTAATGAACATGCATCAAAGCACAGAACAATGATAATACCCCCCAAAATCTGCCTGTTTCTCCCCACTCAATTCTTGCTCCCCAAAAGCAATCACTGATCACATTTCTATCACCACAACACAGTTTGCTTTACCCAGAATGTTATATAAGTAGAAACATACAAGGTAGGTTTTGGCTTATGGAGAGATCTGGCTTCTTTCATTAGGAAAGTGTTTTTGAGATGCATCTATCTTGCTGCATATATTATTAGTTTGTTCCTTTTGCATTACTGAGTAATATTTCACTGTAGAGATGTATCACAGTCTGCTTATCCCCTCTATTGAGGAGCATGCAGGATGCTTCCAGTTGCGGGGTATTATACAGAAAGCTACTCTAAACATGCCTGCTCATGTTGTTTCCATTGCTCTTAGATAAATACTTAAGTCATAGGGTAGATGTAAGTTTAATTTTGAAAACACTGCCTCACAGGATGTACGAATTTATATTCTGGCTAGCAATGTGTGAGAGTTCCAATCACCCCACGTTATTGATCATTGTTTCCATTATAGTGGGTGTGCAGCAGTAGCTCATTTTAATTTTCATTTGCATTTCCTGAAGGATGCTGTGTGCTTTTTCATGTGCTCGCTGCCATTTCATTATCATCTTTTGTTTAGTGCTTAACTCTTCTGTCCATTTTTTATTTGGTTGTCTTTTTTATTATTGAGTTGCAGGAGTTCTTGATATACTAGATACAAGTCATTTGTCATATGTATGTGTTGTGAATTATTTTTCCCAGTCTGCAAATGGCCTATCAATTTTCTTGATGGTGTTTTTTTTAATACACAGGAGTTTTTAATTTTGATAGTCTAATTTATTAATGTTTATTCTTTTATGGTCTGTGGTTTTTATGCCCTCTCTAGGAAATATATACCCCCCTCATGGTTGTAAAGATATCTCTATGTTTTATGCTAGTAGTTTTATCATTTTTGCTTTCTTGCTTAGGTCTGTGATCCATCTTCAGCTGATTTGTGTGTGTGTGTGTGTTGTGAGATAGAACATGATTCTTTATTTTTCCAAACAGATACACTGTTATCCCAGCACTGCCAGCTGAATAGATTTTTTTTCTCTCCATTAAATGACTTTGGTGCCCAGGCTAAAATTTTGAATGCTGATGTGTGGACTTAACATGAATTTGATATGTTTACATGGAAAAGAGCCTCTTCCCACCAGGAGGAAAGGAAAGGCAGAGAGAAAGCAATTCTCATACATACAAGGACTGCACTGGGTCTGCTGTGTGTCCAGAGAAGCAGCAACTGACCTGTCCTCAAACAGGAGAAACCAGGGACTTCCTTGGCGGTCCAGCAGTTGCAACTCCAAGCTTCCATTGCAAGGGGTACAGGTTCGACCTGGTAGGGGAACTAAGATCCCACATGCTGCATGGCACAGCAAGAAAAAAAGAAAGAAATCAACATGCTGCATGGCACAGCAAGGAAAAAAGAAAGAAAGAAATCAACAGTGAAAGAAGCCTGAGAGCATTCAAGCTTGGGAGGTGACCAGCATAAACCAGGGGGCATTTCTCCTTGAGGTCTAGTTCTCACTTTAGTTTCTCAAGCTCTCTGGTAAGAGAGAGGAAGTTAAGGAAAGTAAGTCTGAAAAGCTGCTGACATTTTCGAAGTACACAGTCCTAGTTAGTTGTCTTCCATTCCCACTGAAAGAAAAATAGGCCCTGGCTCTTCCTGACACTCTGGAGCCTCTTGATCCAGAACACAGGCCTTTATTCTCATTTCTAGAGAACTGCATAGAAACCTCTTCAGTGCTAGGGCACTGAGCGGGTATATTTTGAGTTTTATGGCTGCTCTAAATCAGAATTAAGGAGTAAATAGCCTGACCGATTTTCAATTTCCTATTTCTCCTTCATAAATTCTAAAGTGATTTTTATCATAGGGAAGCTGACATTTTAAGAATAGTATTTTTTTTTTTAATCCATGGCAGATAGGTCTCTTTGAAGTCTTGGTGGAAAATCTTCCTTGCAGTTATCATTGTCAAAATCACCATGTAGGGGCCTTATGAATATATTGAGTGCCTGGAAAACCACAGGGAGGGAATCTGCAGGGCCTTAAGTCTGTGCTAAGACCCTCACGGTCAGCATCCCCTTGAATGTTCACAACCACAGTATGAGAGAGGTTTCATCTTTATTATCTTCTAGATTAAAGAAGCAGAGACCCAGATAGATTCAACCACATGCTCATGGACACAGAGCTAATTAATCCTGAATTTGAACAGAGGGCTATCTGTCAAGCTTTTTGCCCTGTTCCTAACCATGATTCCTAGATAGCCTAGATTCCTTGGTATTACTTTGGGTTTATTTGTTTGTTTGTCTGTTTGTTTGTTTTGCAGGATCAAACCATGTGTTAAAACAATCCCCTCTCTCCCCCCAAAGGATATAGCACCCTCATACACTTAGGTAGCTTCAGTTTTTAAGGCCAGAATGACACAGTTGTTTCTGATTTTTGAGTTGGAATGCTTGGCAGAAAAAAGATACTTCTTGCATTGAATTTGATGGTGCTGTTGAATACAGCCTCTTTCATTTCAGCTCCATTCAGAGCAAACAGAAATCAATTTCTGCTTACCTAAAAAATAAAGTAACAAGCTCCACCAGGGGGGAAAAAAAAAAAGATCTCAGGTTCCTTGTTAATATTGTGAATAATGGCAAACACCCAAGGGGAAAAAAGACCAGACACTGAAAAAGAAGCAATAAAGGCAGGACTGGTACTGAGCCTCTTGTTATTGCTCTTTGAGGCTTCCTTTTTGGCTTTCTTTTCTTTGTGGAGAAGGAAAATATTCATTTCTGATTTGTAGATTGTTTTTTCCAGTTCCCCAGATAGTCATTCTTAAAAATCTTGGGATCTAGCTTAAAATGGCTTATAAAGCATCTTGAAAGGACTAGCTGCTTTTTGTGTGTATTTTATTTTTGTACATTTGAACTCCATCTAACTCCATCTGTGCAGTTTTACCTGGAAATGCCGTCAGGACTCCAGGTTCAGAAGCCCTCCAGGTAGCAGAAATTCATCCTTTCCCTCAGGATCCTGGAGACAACTGGAAACCCAGGAGAAGCACTGACCCACAGCGTTGCAGGACAGCTGCATGCAGACGGGAGGCAGGGGTCCCACTGGCAGCCCCAGCCCCTTCCCTGAAGCCCGAGGCCACGCCTTCCTCCTGGGGAGACTGGAGCCCAGATCAGGGACCAGTGCGGGTCCCTGCCGCTCCTTCCCCTCCCTCAGGCTCCCCCTCAGAGGCACCAGCCCGCTCCTCTGTTACTTTATTCTCACTACTGGAGGATTCTATTTTTCTGTCTACCCGGACAGCTACCGAAAACAAACCACAACAGCACTTCCGATGGTCTCCTCACCTTCTGCCGCTGGAGCAACCCCCTCCTGCAGCTGCCAGCTGGGAGCGCCCGCTTTCATCCACGTGTAAACGTTTCCAACAGCCTCGGAAGCAGCCACTTGGCGACTGCTTTCCGCCAACACTGCGATTTCGGGTTTTAATTACATCCCCTTGATTAGGCATCAAAAATTCATATGTGAGCATTTGAAATGGCATTTCTAAAAGGCAGATCTGCCCACTTCAAGTGCTTCCTCAGGGTGGTCCGAGTACTGATTACACTTTTGCTGATTTGGAAAACACTCTGGTGGGTAGCACTACTTACTCTTTGCTTTAAAAGTCACCTTTTCCAGAGATCTACAGAGAATCTCAGCCCTGTACCAACCAAGAAGAAGGAATAGGAAAAAAAAGACAGTGTGGGGGGAGCAGTATTTTCCTCCCCCCACCATGTGGGCCTGCAAGGCAGGCATCTGAAATCTCCCCCTCTTCTGCAAGCACCTGTCCTCATCCCTTCAACTTGAATAAATCAGGACTTTAAGGATTTCAGATCTGAAAATGTATAAGGAAAGGGTCAAGTGGATCCCCTTCCTGAGGGAAAAACAGGAATTGGAAGCTCCTCCTTCCAGGAAATATTTGTGAACCACTTGCTACATGCCGGCCCTGTGAGAGGTCATGTGACAGGACCCCCTTATGCTCTGCTCCCCGCCACCCGCCCTTCACACTTTCCATAGGAACCACAGCTCTCCTTGAGGTCGAAATCTCTCACTTTAAGAAGCCCTCTGGGTCTTTGAATGGGCAACAACTTCAAAATCAGACTGATCTCCACTGCAGTAAAAGTTCTGCCTCCATAGCTGTGGGTGCTTGAAAGAGTCACAACTCCGCTAAGCCTCAGTTTCTCATCAGTAAAATAGGAAGAGTATCTACTTCATAGGGCTTTCCTGGTGGCTCAGTGGTAAAGAATCCACCTGTCAATGCTGGAGACACAGATTTGACCCTTGGGTCGGGAAGATCCCCTGAAGAAGGAAATGGCAACTCACTCCAGTATTCTTGCCTGGAGAATCCCATGGATAGAGAAGCCTGGCGGGCTACAGTCCACAGGGGTGGCAAAGAAACACACACAACTGAGTGAGCATACACACACACACACACACACACATATACACATCTACTTCGTAAGATTGTCCTGAGGATTAACAAGATAATATACTAAAGAATATAGCCTAGGGTTCAAAGCCAGTAAATGTTCAATAAATATTAGTTTCATCATTCTGGCCTCTCTCCCTGTTCTGGTTTATTCCAGCATCCTCTGACCAGCACCAGACTTGAGAACTGGCCCTCCTCATCCACCTGGATTGCAGCACGAACAAGTCAGAGTCCCAGCAGTCGCTTCTCTCCACCTCGACACTGACTTCCTGTTACGTGCACGTGGGTACAAGAGTCTGTGATCCTCTAACCCTGGAAGCCAGTGCAGTAGTCTGTATTTTATTCATTGCAAGAAACAGAAATCTGATTTGCTCAAACATGGTCCGAAATTGCATGGATTCCCACCAGCCAGAAGTTACTTCCTGGTGTATCCAGGGCCCTGTTAATGTCACCCAGCTCTCTCTCTGGCCTCACTTCACATTCTGCTGTCCTTGGTGGGTCAGCCCCTTCTGCAGCTGCAGGAGGCTTGTCACTCATGGCCAGGAACAATGACTTTCAGCTGCCCCAGAATTTCACCCTCCCAGTGCGCTGTGCTAAGTCACCTCAGTGACCGACTCTGTATGACCCCTGCCAGCCTCCTTTGTCCATGGGATTCTCCAGGCAAGAATACTGACATTGATTGCCATGCCCTCATCCAGGGATCTTTCCAACCCAGGGATTGAATTTACCTCTCTTAGTGTCCTGCACTGGCGGGTGAGTTCTTTACCACTCGCACCACCTGGGAAACCCCTAGAGTATCGACCTCCATAAAAAGAGGAAGCATCACCCTCGGTGTCTACACAGCAGCTCCAGGGTCTGGCCCCAGCTGGCCCTGGGAGAGCCCATCTCTGTAGGACTGAGGGGACAGGCAGATCACGGTGGTTGGGGATTCTGGTGGGACCTGAGGGCAAGAAAGGGTGATCATGACATCCCAGAGGGCAGAAACTGCATAACTCAGCACAGCACGTGTCCCCTCCAGCCAGGGATCCTGGCCCAGCCGCCCAGGACCTCATCACTGCAGCATTATAGGAAGCCCAGCTCAACAGGGGTCTGTAATGGGAGGGAGGGCAGGCTCCCTGGCTGACTCTTCCTGGGGGCCAGAGTAGAATCCTAACTAGGCTTCCCAGTAACCCAGAGAACTTGGGGATCACAGAATAGGAAAAGGCAGGTTTCCCCAGCACCTGGCCTCAGAAGACCAAGCTTAGAAAAGTGTGGAAAGGAACAGCAGGAAGCGCCATGACCTTGACCCTGTATACCACTCAGGTCTTGCTGGACCAGAAATAAATAAGAGAGAAACTGGAGTGTGGCAGCTAGGCCAAGTCTTTCAAGGGATCCCATCACAATGATAAAGCTCTCCTGGCCTTCCACTCATCTGTTCCAAGGACACACACACAGACACACACACACACAGTTAGGTGCTGCAGTGAGGATGGTTACAGGGAAGAGTCTGCAGAGAGAGCAAGCAGGTTGTTTAGGCTTTACTCAGTGTCTTCTATCTGGGGGTCATAGGAATACTTTTGAAATATTTAATTAGGCCACAATGTCTCCGTAAGGAAGGTATCATTATTCACCTTCCCCAGCTGAAACAAAAGTTATGAGTGACATTCCTCAGGCTCCTAGGGATGGGGGATTTTGAGCAGCATGATGGTCACAGATTCTGAGCGTGGCCACAGGCTCACCTCTTCCCTTCTCCCGTGCCAGCCAGAGGTTTAAATCCACGTGGTTTAAGCTGATAAGTCTGGTCAGCGTCACAGAATGCTGGATTCCTAAAGAGGAGGAGAAATTTTAAATAGAAAAAGTATTTTTAGCTTAATCTCAAGGTCAGAATAAATTGCAGAAGTCATTGAACCCATTTCTCGCTCTAGTCCTGGCCCGCAGTGTTCTCTTTGAATACACCAAGGCACAGGGAGCCGTCCCAGAAAACCCTGGCTCCAACCCCAGACACCGCCAATTGCTAGATCATCCTATGTCCCATTAAGTTAGAATTAGTCTCTGCCGAACTCTACACACTGCTTCTGCTTTTGCCCGTTGGAAATCATTCATGTTTTCTGCCTTGCTTGCTTTCTTCTGGCTATTAGTAGTTAGGAACCTACTCTGTGCTGTGTATTAGCTTGGGCCCTGCAACCAAGCCCTGAACAAGAGAGAAAGTCCTTGGCCTCATGAGAGAGTATGTTTTAGTGGATAAAGGCAGGAGAAAAAGAAAACAGATGAACAAAAATTTCAACCCAAGCTGAGCCTTATAGAGGAACTGAAGCAGGGAAGAGGGGAGGGGCTGCTTTCTGTGGGGCTTACAAAAGTCTCCTGTGAGCCCCTGAGAAGGCGGCATTCAAGCTGCAACGGGAATGTTCCTGTAACCACACAGCATGTTTCCAACCTTCTTTCCTCAGCTTCTGCTCATATTCAAAGCCGGACACCATGACGCTCACACTTGCCTGTGTAGGCATGTGTGGGCATGTAGACACAGCTGGCTTCTATCCTCTTGCTTAAACATCTCTATTCCTCTATCATTTCAAATATACACATCTTTTCATCAGTGTATCTTAAAATATAGTGTTCATCTTAAAATACAGTGTTCAAAACTGGATTGTTGTTGTTGTTAGTCACTAAGTCGTGTCCGACTCTTTGTGACCCCACAGACTATAGCCCGCCGGGCTCCTCTTTCCATGGGCTTTCCCAGGCAAGAACACTGGAGTGGGTCTAAATTTGGTCTGACCGATACAGGTTCGTGTCCTCACTCTCTTGTCATGGACTCCACCCTTCCATTAACCAAATTTCTGTGCTTCCAGACATAGGCGTGCCAAAGTCACTATCAGCCTTGAAAACCTGTATCTCAGTTCTCCCAGGAAGCGCTCAGCCAACTGAGTATGTACAGTAAGTCTGTCACATGTGCTAAGTGTGATCACTAGTATCCTGTGATTTTGCCACTTTGAGTGGAGAGGAAGACCTACATCTTACCTCTTTTCTGTTAAAGCCATCTTGCCACCCGCTTAATATTTTCTTTCTTTCTTTTTTAGTGCAGATATTGTCCTTAGGATTTAACTGGTCTTCTACATTTCACTCTCAGATTTGATGAGCAAGACACCAATAATCAGATCTGACTCGTAATAAAAGTATCTCCCAAGAGGAGACAGTAAAGGGCTATGGACAGGCAGTTATCAATCCATTTAAAATATAATGAGCCAGTCCACGTAAAAGAGAAGCATGAAAGACACTTGCTAAAATCCAAACACACCTACGCATTCATTCAAGACTCGATGAACAGGCTTCCCTCCTGGCTTGGTGGTAGAGAATCCGCCTGCCAATGCAGGAGACGGGGGTTCCATCCCTAGTCTGGGAGGATCCCACAAACCACTGAGCAGCTAAGCCCACAAGCCACAACTACTGAGGCCCTCACCCTAGAGCCCAAGCTCTGCAACAAGAGAAGCCACCCCAATGAGAAGCCCGCACACCTTCTCTAAAAGAGTGTCGTCCCTGCTCACTGCAACTAGAGAAAAACCTGCGTAGCCACAAAGACCCAGTACAGCTCAAAAAATAAATAAATGGATAAATAAAAATTTTTAAAAACTCACTTAGCACAAATCTGTGCAAAGGTGAAGCCATAGTTATAATAAATAAATTAATTAATTCACCTGGCTATTTAATACGAAAAAGACCCAATGAACAAAGAAAGAAGGTCTTTGTGGCATTAAACTGGTGCTGAGTCATGAATTTGAATACTCAAAAGCTCCCCTTTTGAAACTCTGTTCTAAACATGTGCTCTAGAATCTTTCCTGTTCTATACATAGGCTCACCAGTTTAAGGAACATATATTTTTATTTTCCCCTTAAAAATTCCAACTTTAATCCCTGGATCATGTTCCAGGATCCCCCAGAGGTTGCTGACAGTGCTGCTGCAGTTGAAAATGAAAGCTTTTTCTCAGTGTCCTAAGACACAATCTATTTGGGACCAGAGGTTTAGAAAGTTATAAACCTAACAGCCTCACTTTTACAATCATTGATCTAACGTTGGGTCCCTTTTATGGTCATCAGTCTGCCATTTCCAGTACAATTCTCATCCCTAAAAAAAAAAAAAAAATTAGGGAGAAAAGAGGAACTGAGCACTTCTCCATTTATTGCTTTTTGTGTATCTTTTTTTTGCTCATACCTTTTATTTGAGGATGTAGAGAAGTTCCACAAGGGTAAAGCAGAAAGTGATAGAAAGGAAACCTATATAAGAAATAAATGAAAGACAAATACAGTGTCACTCACATGTGGAATATAAAAAAAGTGAACAAACCAAACCAAACAAAAGCAAACACAGACCCAAAGAACATATCAGTAGTGACCAGAGAGGAGGGGCAGGGGGTGGGCGAAATGGTAAGGGGGGTGATATGGTGATGGATGGAGACTAAATTTTTGGTGATAAGCTGTAGGGTACACAGAAACAGACATATAATGTTGTACACATGAAACTTATGTTATAAGCCAATGTTACTTCAATTTAAAAAAAATTTTAAGTGAAATTTTACACTGATCTTTTTAGGATATTTTGAAAATTAAATTTTTAAATCTACATGTGCCTGATCTAACCACTACGCTGAGGAATTTCTTTAAGCCTCAGATGACATTCTCTTTCACACCCAAGGTTTTTATAATCACAAAGCACTCCCTCTTTGATCTGGAATAATTCCACAGTAGCAGTAACCATTGTTGCTTCTTTTAACTTCCTAGAAATAGAACTGTCACCAAAAACAAGTTGAAAAATCTTTCGGCAGCTCTGTTTTCACTGAATGAGGCATCCAGTGAGGTGTCAGTATCCCCGGCCCTTTCCTGTGAGTCGCTCCCTCCTCTAAGCCAGCCTTGGGGTTTGTGTGGAAAATATGTGCCTCCCTTCCCTGCTGGGGCCAGGGAATTCCTCGTGGACAGGCAACACCCCTCTGCTTCTCTCTTTTAACCTTGACCAAGAGACCGTCCCTCTTGTAAAGGAGGCATTCTCAAAAGAAGAAAGTCCTGTTTCAGTCACCCTTTTGCAAGGGTTTCTGCTGACCTGTTGATCAATCTAGTTAGCAGGAAAAGAATTCAAATGTGGGTTGCACCTAACTAATTAGGTATGTCCCCAAAATGATACGTAAAGTATGCTTTTAACCCAGTGCTTTGTAAAGGCTCCACAGTCATGCTAATGATATACATACTGGTCAAAATACTGGTTAGCATGTCAATATTCAACATATAAACACAGAAATAAAATATAAAAATATATACTATATATATGCTATTTTCTGAATGCTGTGATTCTTAAGTGACTTGATATACAACTGAGGTCACAGAGTGAAGGTCCTCTTGTCTCCATGTTTATCTATGCTTTTTTGAATGAGGTAACTTGAAACAAAGGAGAGGGAAAAGAAGAAACGAAGGAGGAAGGGGAGGGCTGATGTTACAAAGGATCTACCACGCTGCAGAGGTTTTATATGCCTAGTTGTGCATATTTGATGAAACAACTGTTACTATTACCCCATCTCACATCTGAGAAAAAAGGAGCTCAGATGAGCTGAAGAAAGTGAAAAAATTAGCAAAAGGCAGAGGTAGGTTTTTAACCCATTTTCTTCTAATACCAAATCTCTACTCTTTCTGCCACCCGTGTTCTCTTAGGAACAAGGACAGAGGAGCCTGACTTACTGGACACCCCACTATTCTCATGACTCATCACTAACACATTTTCAAATGACTTGAAGATATTTTAATTCAAAGAAAAAAAAAAGAAGACATGCATATTCCAAGCTATGCTTTGGGTTTTCCTTGGCCAGTTACGAACATTTCCCTTACCTGTTCCCGGTAGGCATTTGATTCAACCAACCAAATACATCAATCACTTCTACAAGAGCAGGAGAAATACTTCACTCCACGTCCAGATGACTCAGCAGTAGAGTTTTTATGGTCTTCATGATTATCAAACTAGAGAGCTTTCATTTACACCAAAGCCAGGAATGTGGGTAGAACTCAGGATTTGAGCGTGATCGTACAAAGGAAAGAATGAATACTATCTATAAAGAAATACAACGATGTGAGGAACAGCAAAGTTTCCAATTTTTTTTTTTGTGGCAGCAAGGAAACTTTACCCAATGAAATCATTACTGTTTAATGATAATTTAATCAGGATAGGGGAGAGAACATCTCTGGGTTTCACCTGACTGGCTCAACGGTCCTTACCCTTCTCCTCTTGGTCTCTATAAATGTGCCCTTTTAAGTGGATTTAACTTTTTAAAATTTTTGTTGGCCTATAGGTGCTTCACAATATTGTGTTAGGTTCTGCAGTACAGCCAAGTGAGTCAGCTATATAGATATTTGCTCAATCATGTCCGGCTCTTTGCAACCCTATGGACTGTCGCCCACCAGGCTCCTCTGTTCATGGGATTTTTCAGGCAAGAGTACTAGAGAAGGTTGCCATTTCCTCCTCCAGGGGATCTTCCCAAGCGGGGGATCAAAACCGTGTCTCCTCCATTGGCTGGTGGATTCTTTACCGCTGAGCCATCGGGAAAGCCACCTGTACATATATCCTCTCCCTTCTGGATTTCCTTCCCGTTTAGGTCACCACAGAGCGCTGAGCAGAGTTCCCTATGCTGTACTGTGGATTCTCGTTAGTTATCTATTCTACCCACAGTAGTGTTATATGCCAACCTCTGTGTCTCAATTCATCCCATCCCTCCCTTTCCCCTGTTGTGTCCACACATTTGCTCTCTATTTCTGTGCCTCTGTTTCTCTTTTGCAAATAGATTCATCTGTACCATTTTTTTCTAGATTCCACATATATGCGTTAATATACAATATTTGTTTTTCTCTCTCTGACTTAATTTGGACAGCCTGTGGACCATGGTGGCGATATCTCAGACATCTCAGAGCTGTGCTGAGGACTAGCTCGGGGTCTGGAACACTGACTCAGCATCTACAGAATGGAAACACAGAAAATGCAGACAGTCTCGCCCTTCCGGCCAAACAGGGAAGGATTCAAGGTCACTTTCAGCCTCCAGGGTGTGCCCAGGAGTCTGTGCAGTGCAACAAGAAGCAAGGTGAGGAATGGCAGGTCAGTGGAGACGATGAAGGACAAAGAAAATGGTAAACAGTTCTCCCTGCTCATCAACAGAATCAATATGGAAGGAGACACCTGTCGCCAACGGGAAGAGCAAGGTGCCCGCCTCCCCTCACTCTGTTGTCTCGGCTTCCCTCATCGGGCTGCGATGCACTGCCGCCTTGTAGATCACAGCCTCGCTGGAAACGTGCCTGCCTTCTTAGCATCCTTAATGCCTCCTCCTGCCTTCGCTCCCTCCTGCCCGGGTCCCAGGTCCGCAGCCCTTTGTCCCTACTGGCTTCAGCCTTCATCTCTCCCGTGTCCCCTCCCGCTGCTGGCGGCGTCCCCACAGAGAGTGCTCGGTGCTGGGGAGGGAGGGGGGAGGTGGGGATACCCGGCCACCGCGTTCAGCGGCTCCGGCACCATCTTTAAGCGGGAAGAAGGTGTCATCAACTGATAAAATGCTAAATGACAATTCATTTGCATTCTGCGGAACAGAAATTGTTAAATATTTCATTCCTATCACCTGCTCCTTTTCGGGGCAACCATCACACGGCAGAAAGGGCTCCCCCGAGAAATGCTTGAAAGGTCGGCGCCCGCAGAGCGCGCGCGTCCCGAAGCCCTGCATCTAGGCTGGGCCCCCGGGCCTCCGGCTCCATCGTCGATGTCTCAATGCTGCCCTCTGCTGGGCTGTGGCGGCGCTGGCAACGCCCCGAGCGGAAAGGCGCGGCCACCCTGCGGTTAACCGAGAGGGTTCACTTCTGTTAACCGGACGCGGAGACTACAGATGACCCCTCATTGGAGATCAAACCAGCCCATTCTAAAGGAAATCAATCCTGAATATTCACTGGAAGGACTGATGCTGAAGTTGAAGCTCCAGTACTTTGGCCGCCTGATGTACAGAGCCGACTCACTGGAAAAGACCCTGATGCTGGGAAAGATTGAAGGCAGGAGAAGGGGGTGACAGAGGACGAGACGGTTGAACGGCATCACCAACTCGATGGACATGAATTTGAGCACGCTCAGGGAGATGGTGAAGGACAGGGAAGCCTGGCGTGCTGCAGTCCATGGGGTCGAAAAGAGTCGGACACAACTGAGAGACTGAACAACACCTGTGCCCGGTGCCAAGGAGCATATGGCTGTATAAAAGGGGCACGGCAGAAATTCACCACCTTCGAGGGCATCCTATCTCACCCTGTGGATGCTCAGCTGCTCTCTTTGCAGAGCAGCCCCTGCTACCTGCTCCTAGGCTGTCAGTGCGCAGATGAAGAAAGCCTTATGGCCAGGACTTCCTCCCTGAAAGAGATCTGCTTGTGGAACAAAGGCATGTGTGTGTTGCAGGGGTGAGGGAAGGTTCCTACTAGGAAAGAGTGAAATACTCAGATTTGGGGTCCAGGGTTAAACTACACATTCACTCCAGTTGGGGACCACCATCCCCCCCACAGAGCATTCCAAGGGACCAAGCCCTGCCCACCTAGTCAACCCCCCTCCCAGGCTGGACTCCAGGCACTGCTCTCCCAGCAGTCACCCCAACGTGTCCCTCTCCCACTCCACAACCCATCTATTGGTCTTCTGACCAGTCTTTCCACCCCAGCCTTCCTTCCCAAGTCCATCCTTCACTCCACCCAAGGAAAGCTACATTACATGATGCAATTAATGTAAAACTCGTCATGCAATGCTTGGTGCAGGGGTAAGTACTCAAAAGAGTTTAGCTAGAAATGTAGTTACATCTGACCATCCACACCCTGCCCAGTAAATGCTTTTAGGGTTTCCCTACACCTCAGATAAAAATCAATGGGCATCTGCTTGACTCTCTACTTCCTCTTCAAACATTTTCTCAAGCTTTATAGACCAGCCATGGAACCTCTGGGCTCCCCATGCACACCATGGGTCTGATATCTGCCTGTGGTAACGCTAATCCCTTCATCTAATAGACCCTCTCCCAGCTTCTTCATCTGTTTGTTTATCCAAGACTCAAGCCTTCCTGAAGGCCTCATCTCCTTCAAGAGTTTCCTAAGGGTCTGTTAGGAGTCTGTCTGCTCTTCGTTTCTGAGCTTCTTGAATTCCAGGACTGTCTGAGTCATCTTTCTATCCCCTACCTAGCACAGTTTGAGAATCACCACATGTTCATGGCATGAGTGGATGAATCAAGGCAGGAAAGAATGCATGCACCAGAGGAGTCCCAGAGGCACCTACCTGCCCCAACCATCTCCTGGCACTTGCCAACTCACAGTCTCGTGACTTAATCTGCTCCTGTGAGGGCTGGAAAGGATCGAGCATCACCACCCGGAAGGCTTTGTTCAGAAAAGTTCACCTGGACCTTCAACTCCTTTGCTTAGATGATGACGGTGACTTCAAGCTACCTTGGCAAAGGGAAGTGATTTTTGGCGGAGGAGAGGAGAGAGAGGTTCTGAAAACTTGAACTTGGCAGAAATCGGTCTGTTGGGAGCACAGGACTTTGAGACCCAGGAGAGAGCTATTCAGACACCAGGCACAAAAGGAAAGAAGAGAGCGTGGGAGCTTCGCAAAGGGGCTTAGAGGAGAGAAAAATGGGCTGAGTCCCGTGTATGTGCCAAATACTCCTCAAACTCCTTCTAAACCTCACGCCAGCCATATAAAGTTGTGATCCTCATTTTCTCAATGGGAAATTCAGGTTCAAATGGATTTGGTTCTAGACCTGAGGTCACATACCGCTAAGTGACAGCTCTAAGATTCAAACCCAGGCTCCCTGACTTCTAAGCCCGCATTTTCCAGTTACATTAACGTTTGCTCTGCTCTGAGAAGAAAGGCAGAAGTGAGATGGAGCAGGAGCCTCTGTTCTTGTCCCCTCACCCCCACCGTGTCCTCTGCCTGCCTTTTGTCTGTGGAAATCTTTAGTCAAAGAATAAGTTCAATCAGAGAAGTAAGAATTGCAAAAAGAAAGGAAAAAGAGTCAAAGGAGACCAAATAATAACAATGTAGTCATTAAACATAGTCAAGGACATTTAGTTCTTTCTCAGGGGCTATAGATGATATTCTGAGCCTTATCCTGTGAGTGGAGCCATATCCTCCAATAAAGCACCGGGTGGAGAAGTTGACCAGATGGCAGGAAGATCAGACTATACTCAGGACATGAACTGCCACAGTTTCGAGAATTGGTTGCAAAGAAATGGGAAAAAATGGACCCTGGAACTGAAGATTAACTGAACCTAAAACAACCAAGATGAAACTGGTCAGACCAGCGATGATAGTTTGAAAATGACTGTTAGAGATGACTGTGCTGTTTCTGCATGAAGCACCCCCACTCTGTCTATAAAAGCTCTCTCCCTCCTCGTTGCTGGCATCTGAAATAAAGCAAACTTTCCTTTCCACCAACCTGGCCTGTTTATTGGCTTTTGAGCAGCGAGCAGCCAGGCCCCACACAAACTCTCTGTAACAAAAGCACCTAGCACAAGCAGGAACTAACCTCCCACCTCTGAGTAAAGTGGGCTAGCCCTTCTAAAGACCATCATCCTCTCCATTGTGGAATTCCACTGGATTTCTCCATCTCTCCATTTCTCCATTGAATACTAAGGGTCTCCTGTAATTCAGACCTCTTCGTAGCTGCCAGCCTGCACATGTCCTAGGTACGATGAGGATCAATAATTGAAGAGTCTCATTTCCCATCTTACAGAGATGACATCCACTTTCATATACCCGTTCACGAGGAGATGTGAAATGCTGCCTCATCCATCACTTTCCATCCCTGGCTCATGCTTCATTAGGCATCAGTAGAATTAAATAGCAGTAACTAAAGAGATCTAATCGACTATTACAATCTTCAGGGACGAAATCTGAGCTCACAGATTGGTGTTTCAGGAAAACCCAGACTTGTGTCACTTAGATCACGAAACATGGGTTTCCGTGAACCGGGGGCTAAGAGCTAAGAACCGGAGTGTGCCGTGTCAGTGGGGATTTCCAACGCTCAAGTCCTCCTCGCCATGAAGAGCCACCGAGTTCCACGTGAGGTTCATATGACCCTCTGGGCAACAGTCAGAAACAGCAGCCTGAGAACAGTACTTTGGTGTCCATTGCCATCACCGGAAGGGTTATGAAAATACACACAATTCTTACAGTTTCTGATTCAGTGGGCCTGCGGAAATTCAAGAATTTTGGTTTCCTAAAAAGTGGAAGCAGTGGCAGATTTTATTTTCTTGGGCTCCAAAATCACTGCAGACGGTGACTGCAGCCATGAAACTAGAAGACGCTTGCTTCTTGGAAGAAAAGCTATGACAAACCTAGACAGCGAATTAAAAAGAAGATACATCACTTTGCTGACAAAGGTCCTTACAGTCAAATCTACGGGCTTTCCAGTAGTCATGTACGGATGTGAGAGTTGGACCATAAAGAAGGCTGAGTGCCAAAGAATTGATGCTTTTGAACTGTGGTGCTAGAGAAGCCTCTTGAGAGCCCCTTGGACTGCAAGGAGGATCAAACCTGTCAATCCTAAAGGAAATCAACCCTGAATTTTCATTGGAAGGACTGATGCTGAAGCTGAAGCTCCAATACTTTAGCCACCTGATGCAAACAACTGACCCTTTGGAAAAACCCTGATGCTGGAAAAGATTGAAGGCAAAAGGAGAAGAGGGCGGCTGGGGATGAGCTGGTTGGTGGCATCACCGACTCAACAGACATGAGTTTGAGCAAACTCTGGGAGATAATGAGGGACAGGGAAGCCTGGCATGCTGCAGTCCATGGGGTTGCAAAGAGTCAGACACAATTTAGTGACTGAACAATAACAACGATTCCCCAGTGATACTGATGCTATTGGTCTGGGGCTCATTCTTGGAGCACTGCAACCCCAGATCAGTTGTGGCCAGAGTGAAAAAAAGAGCCCAGAAGAGGGAGCACAGGCTTGGAGTGTTCCCTGAGCATCCCCAGTGGCTTCATCCTTAACTCACAGTGGTCACCAAGGCATGCCTACTAGAGTTACTTTCCTGTTTTTAAATGCATTTTTGGCACAAGCTAGGATCCACTGAGAGCTTCCCAGGTGGTTCAGTGGTAAAGAATCTGCCTGCCAATGCAAGAGATGTGGGTTCAATCTCTGGGTCAAGAAGATCCTCTGGAGGAGGAAATGGCAACCCACTCCAATATTCTTGCCTGGAGAATCCCATGGACAGAGGAGACTGGCAGGCTACAGTCCATGGGGTCACAAAGAATCAGACTCAGCTAAGCATGGGTTTAGTTGCTGTGCAGCATGTGGAATCTCCCCAAACCAGGGGCAGGCAGATTCTTAACCACAGGACCACCAGGGAGGTCCTAAGCACAGCTTCTGGCCCCTGGTAGATACTTTATATGAGTAAAAATGCTAACCGCTAAGCTGACACGAGAACTTCACAGTACCGTTGAAGGATGCTGGTTCTTGAAGGACTAAGCCATGCCCAACCCACTTGACACCTGGATTATTGCAGCCACCTCCTCGAGGGGGTTGCTGGCACTCATCTCCTCCCTGTCTTACATCACTCTCCCTTCTGCTACCAGAGGGAATGTCTTTAAATACAAACATGTTCAGGTCAAAAAGCTCTGGTGTGTAATGGTGTATGCACTGTTATGATGGTATTTCAACCCAGGATCACAGATGCAAGTAACCTCCCCAGGGAACAACACTGGCCCATCAGAGGGGGATGTGGGGCTGAGGGTGGTCATTGTGGGGTCTCTGGCCTGGGATTCAAGCACAGACCCTGTGTAGAATGATCCCTGGGAAAGCCCACCTGATAATCTGGAAGTAAAAAAGGTTTGCTTAGGACATT